CACCCCCTGCCCGGGTTGTCCCGGCCTCTTGCAGCCCCTACTCCTCCAGCCCTGGGCCTGTACCCTGCTATCTCCTCTACCCGGAACCCTGGGCTCTGCTCCTTCCAGGCAGGCTCAGTTCCCCTGGAGGGGCCCTGCCAGGGGTCCCGCCTGCCGCGTGTACCTCCCTGCACTGCTGAGCGCTCTCTGTTGTAATCACAGCTCTAATTAGGCGATTAATCGTGGGAACTCTGCTCTCTGGGAGGAGATGTTGCCTTGTCCTTGGCGCCCTCTTGCGGCTGTGCGGCTGAAGACGCAACCCCTGAGCCCCGAGTGGAGCTGTGTTGGGGCGCCGGGTAAACTCCGTTTCTAGGGATGGCACTGGGCATCCCACCCTCTTTCTAGGCTGTGTCCTGCTTGGTGCAGGGCACTCACGGCCCTGCCTGAGGGTGCCCCGTTCCCAGTCTGTGCTGCTGCCCGGCCCCTCCTGCCTCATGCTCAGGGCAGCGGGGCTGGAGACCCGGGCCGGCACAGAGTTGGCACTGCCTCAGAAACTGCAGCAGGACTGGAAAGGCACAGGTGCGACCCCAGGCGCCGGGAAGAGTGGGCTTGCAGGTGTGCACCTGCCTTTAGTCACAGAAGGGCATGGCGGCATGCAGATGTCTGGGAGGTGTCAGGGCCTGTTCATAAAAAGCAGATCAGGCAATATACAAAGGTGGAGTCACCAGGAATTAGGGCCGGGGGGCCTGGCTGGCGCAGCGTCCTTGGCTCGCAGCTGTCCGTTTCCCTGGGCAGCTCGGCAGTGGCCCGGGGGCTGCACCTGCACTGGCCCCTTCCCTGCCTGCTCTCCTTGCACGCGGGGTCTGGGTTGCCCCAGGTCTGTCCATGGGCCTGGTCCATCCTGGCCGCTCCCTGCTGCCACTCACCTGGGGAACTTGGTGTGGTGCCAGGTGTCTCTTGGGTAGGTCAACATCATCCCTTCATGGGCCCCACGCTGTTCTGTCTGCTGGTGTGGGGGTGGCTGTGGACAATTCCAGAAAAGTCCGTGCTAGTCTTTGGCCTTCTGCTCAGCTGTCCCCATTCCCCAGCTGGGACGAAGCCTGCGGAGGCTTGGGGAAGGAGCTTCTACAACCAGGGTACTTCTTGGACCAGCAGCCCAGCGGTGACAGTTCTGCTGTCTTTGTGCTGGGCTTGTCTGCACCTGGGCCTGCTGTTCTGGAGGACCTGGTGCTTCCATCTCTGTAGCCACTGTGGATGAGGCCCAGGGGCTGGTGGATGCTGGCCTGGGGCACAGTCAGAGGCCTTCTGGGTCTCTACCCCATTTGATGGGTGAGGCCCTCCCTGATGGAGCTGGTCCTGTTCCCGTCGGCAGCCTAGGAGCTGGACAGGCAGCTGGACAGCTGCCCAGGACACTCACCTTGGCCCTGGTGGCTGGACAGTGGGATGAGGGAGCAGCCTTCTCTACTTCATAGCAGCCTCAGGCAGTTCTTTGCACAGAGTAGTAATTCTAGTTTCATCTTATTCATTAACCAATTGTGAAATTAGCAACTCATTTTCTTCCTAGTTATTTCCCTTTGAAGTTCCATAAAAATCTGAACTCTCCCTCAACTCCTGCTCTGCATCAAACAGAGCAAGGCCGCGACCTCCATCTGATCAGATCAGCCATCTGTGTTGGAATTGTCTGAGGAGAGCAGGTTGGGTGGGCAGGGCCAGGCTCTGCAGACGGAGCAGCTCTGCTGGGGGTGGGACCACACTCCTGGGCCCCCGATGGTCAGGCCCGGCCGCAGCGGCCGCCCTCCTGACAGCGCGTCGTTGGCATGTGGTGCTTGGTACACAGCAGGGCTCTTGGGATGCCCGAGGGCCGCCCCACCTGGCCCCCGGCCTGAGGGCATGGTGCTGTGTGCAGGAGCTGGAACCCCGCTGATGGATGGCTCATATCCCATTCACATATGATGCCAGCAGTTTTTTTGTGGTTTGTCTTCCATTGCGGTAGTAAAGTTTTTAATTAGGAAAGCTAATGAGATCGATTAGTCATTAGAAGTGACCTCTGGATGGCGGGCGGAGAGGGCTGTGTGTGTGGGGCTGATAACGTAGGCCAGGGCAGCGCTGGCAATAAAGGCGCAAGGGGCTTGACGTGCATAGAGCGTGCCGTGGGGATGTATCACGCGGAGAAAAAAATTACAGCCCTGGGAGTCTGTAATGAAGGGAATTAAACCAACATCCTATCTAAATAACACGACTATCTACACAAACCCCAGCCGGCTAGGAGGGATGGGCACCTGGGCCGGCGTCCTCAGGGAGGAGGGCAGAGGCCTGTTTCTGCCTGGGTCCTTGTTGGACATAGAGCAGCATCCTGGAGCCTCCCAAGCCTTGCCACCTGTCCACCCCATTGCCGCACGCCCTGGGGAGCAGGGCCAGGGAGGGACCCTTCCTTTCTCCAGCCCCTTCTGGGTCCGTGTGCCAGGCATGGTCTTAGGAGCTCTTGCTCCTGCCAGCTGCTGGGGGCCCGGCCTGGAATTCATCCCCCGCCGCTAGTCTGTGTGGCTGTGCCCTGCTGATCCTGCATCGTCGTGAACTTGTCCGAGCTGCCCATTTGGGAATGAAAGGGACTGCCTGTGGTCTGCGGGGCCGGCTGCGGGGGCGGGGCCGGCTGCGGGGGCGGGGCCGGCTGCGGGGGCGGGGCCGGCTGCGGGGGCGGGGCCGGCTGTGGGGGGCACGGCCTTGCTGTGGGGGCGGGATGCAGTCCTGGACCTTCGCTGGCTGCGGTCTCCCCACTTTGAGCCCCTTGAAGTGCCCCCACTGTGGGGACTGTGGGTGAGGGTCTGTCTAGGGTGACATGTGCAGGACATGCCTGCCCAGCCTGACTGGGCTGTGGCAAGAGGCCGGGACCACATTATTACCATATGGTTTGCAGGAATGACGCTTGGGCACTAAGAAGTAACATGTAGTAAGGCAGAGAAGCCTGACCTGATCTGACCACCGCCGGTGCCACACAGGAGCGTGACCATGGTGCTGCTGCCTGCCCCAAGCTGCCCCTCCTGGGCAGCAGTGTTCTAGAATGCAGCGTCCAGTCCTGTGTGCAGTGGGGGTTGGGACTTCCTGGAGGAGGTGGCATGTGCTGGACCTGGGAGGGCGGGTGAGCTCTGGTCCCCAAGGTTAGAGGTGATTTTAGCCAAAGGGATATTGTGCACCTGGCGATGGGAATGGAGCTGGCTCAGGTCTGGGGCCTCCTGTGCTCCGAATTTGGGGAAGAGGTTGAGGAGGAGGGGAACACAAAGCCCCAGGGCCCCAGTGTGGCTCAGTGTCCCTCCTGCCTTGCTGGGCACTACCTGGCTTCTGAGCGGGATTGCGCCGTAGCTTTGTTGTGCCATGGCTCCATGGGGCCAGCATTGCCCCAGGCTACACATGCCAGAGCAGCAGGCATGGGGTGGCCTGGGAGGCTTGTGAGCAGGCCACGGTGGGAAGCAGGCTGCAGGCTGGCACATGGGTCACCTCGGCACTCTGGGGTTGGGAGTGGGCGGGTGGCAGCCCCAAGCCTCGGCCCCATGGCTGGTGGTGCTCCAGTGGGTGCGCTGACTGCCCAGGTGCTGAGGCTGGCTCCCAGCTTGGCCCAAGTGGGGCAGGAGCATCCCGGGCAGCCCATGCCTTCTTCAGACAGAAGCGGGGAGCCTGCAGTAGGGCTGGAAGCTGACACATCACCTCAGGGTTATTGATAACTTAAAGACTTCTATGTTTTCTGGCTCTTAGTTGGAACAAGCTATTATTGATTTTTTGGTTGATCTCTCTTTGCTTGTAAGACCTTGAAAATTCAATTGGCAGACTCTCTGCTGTGGACTTGGGGGGGCTCTTGGGAAGGCTTTGATGCCATGTTGGGTCCAGGTGTTCCTGACATGCTCCCATGCAGGCTGACAGGTGCCTGGGTGGAGGCTGCAGCTTGGACGGTGCTGGGGTACACCTGCAGGAGGGGATCTTTGTCGATAGCTGGACAGGGCAGTGCAGGCAGGAGGGTGTGAGAGCCCATGGAGAGATGGGCAGAAGCGGGGCTCAGGGAGGGGCCCTGGCTGCCTGAGGTCCGGTGGGTTTAGGGCTCCGGAAGAGATTTCGGGAACCGGTAACAGTTTCTGGTCCTGTCTAAGGAGCAGGGTGCCTCAAGGGCTATTTGGCTGTGGGACCAAGAAGATGTGAGGGAGGGTCTCTGCTGACCTCTGGACGTCTCCTGCGGGATCTCCTGGGCCTTGGGCTGCGAGGGGAGCTGTGAGGAGGGCGGGCCTGCGCCCGCTGCTGTGTTGGCTTTAATCCTCTGGGCAGTCAGAGCTGTGCATGATGCAAGTTGGGCAATTAGACACAATCCTTGAAGCTATGGATAAATTGCCGGCTATCAAGTGGAAGGGAACTCGGGCAAAACAGATTCCTGTTAATTGCATGAAACGTTCAGCAGGAAAAAGCCATTGTGTCTATCACCCTGCAAAATGTTATGAAAACAGTGATGAAGTACATTGTTCTGTCTGGGCACGGCACCGAGGAGGTGCTCCTTGAGGCGGTGAGTGCCCCAGCGCCCCTCCCACGTACCGGGCACAGGCCACGAGCCTACCGTGCTGTCTTGGGTGGAGGTGGCCCATCTGCCTCCCTCACTGCTCTGCTGGAAGTCAGTCATTGACCTCGCGTGCTCCTGGGGCGGATACTGTCTAGAGGCCTCCGAGGTGTCCCTGACTGCCAGGCCCCTGGCTTCTCCTGGTTCTCCTGTGGGCGGTCCCTTGCTTCTCCTGATGGCTAGAGGGTGTGGTGGGGGATCAGTGAACACCTCTCCTGGAGGCTGCACTGGTTAGCTCCTGAAGCATTGGCTACCAGGCACCCTGGGGATATGTGTGCCACATGGGGTGGGGGTTCCATCTAGGGGGCGACAGAGAGTCTTCAAGCCCCAGGGGAGGCAGCAGGCAGGGCTGGCACCGTGGGCATCCTCTCTGACCCTGCCCTTGCCAACCTTCCCTGACCCGTGTCTGTGCCCTGGGTTTTCTCTGCAGCATCCAGCCTGCATGCCCTGCGGACTCCACCCACTAGCAAGGTGATCAAGACCCGCTACCGCATCGTCAAGAAGACCCCGGCCTCATCTCTCAGCGCCCCGCCCTTCCCCCTGTCTCTGCCCTCCTGGCGGGCCCGGCGGCTCTCACTGTCCAGGTAGGAAGGCCTCCTCCATGCTCCTGCAGGCCTGGGGACTGGGCTGCCTGGACCCTGCCCTGAGGGCAGGGGAGCTGAGGGCATTCCACAACTGCTTGGTGTTTGGCTTTTGGCTGGGGACCAGCTTGATTTTTCCGTTTCTTTAGCAATTTCTATAGCCAGTAGGAGGCCAGCCTGTGTATACCACACATACGTGAGGACGGACGGACACGTGCACATGCAGGCCCTGCTGTTCTCAGCGAGCCTGTTAGCTGGTGGGGGCTCTGTGCCATGGAAGCATCGCCGCCCAGACGGTCAGCGCCCACGCCATGTGCTGTCTGAGCATCTCTCAGGGAGAAGCTTCTGGTGGGAGAGGCTGGGCCTTGAGCGGGTGGCAATGTGTGCCCCTTCTTGCTCTGCCCACCTATGGTCTGGCCCCCACCCGCACTCTGACCTCCAAGCAGGCTGGGAGGTTGGCTCCATCGGTGGGAAATAGCTCTTGCCTTCCTGGGGTCCCCACTCTGGGAAGCTGTGCCACCCACTGAGTTGAGGTTGCTCAGCCTCTGGGCCTCAGGAGGCCTGGCCCTGGGGGTTGGTCCTTCCTTTGCTTGGTGGGGGTGCCCATCTCCATGCTTGGGAGAGGGTGAGAACCCTGGCAGCAGATGGGGAAGCAGGCAGTGGCATGTGTCCCTCTGTCCTCTGACCCTCCTTGTGGGAGCCTGCTCCTGGAGGAGTGGCATGGGCCAGAGATGGTTGACAGGGCCACGGGGCAAGCAGCCACAGTGCTGGGCACGGCCCCCCACCATACCGTGGCCATCTGGTGGGTCCCTGCTAGAGGTTCCCAGGCCTGAGGCTAACCCCAGGGGATCCACCCACTGGTGTGGACAGCCCTGTGTGGCTCTAGGGCCTATGGCAGGTCAGGCAGCTGGCGAGCCCACTGGGTGGTGCCCCGCTGCCTCCTGGATCGCCAGGCCGCACTCAGCATGGCCCTGCTGCTGACTTTTCTGGAGGCAATAGCTGGAGTATATTTTAAATTAATTTTACTGCACTTTTTGTAATATTTTTGTTTTAAATAGATTTATAAGCATCTCGGGGGCTATTTCTACAAATTTATGAAGATAATTTTTATTCTCTCGATAAGGTTAAATTTACACCTGCTATTTCCATATTAATTCACAGTGCTAAGTGGATCTAATTTTCTTCCGTTCTTCTATCTGGTGAGCATGGCCTTTCCTAATGCAATTTCCCCCTCAGTAAATCACTGTGATCAGGAGTCATGATCGAGCTAAATTAACTTAAATTAATTTACTTAATAAGAGCCCCGGATCATCGGGAATGAGGTTCAGATTTATGGATTCTCCACTCCTGCCCTCCTCCTGTGGTCGTCGTCAGGCCGCGTGGAGGGTCCACCTCTCCCAGGGGGCACGGCTGGGAGCCGAGTGTTGATGTTCCTCAGGGCAGACCCAGCGGAGCCTTTCCCTCTGGATTGTGAGGCCAAGAAGGCCTTGGGTTTGGGTCCGCCTGGGCCCTAATGGTGTCGTTGTACACCCCGGCTCTGGGGCTAGGGAGGCTGGGAGGAGGAGGAGTGGGCAGCCAGCCCCGTGCCCAGGGCCTCCTGTTGGCGCCGTGAGGCTGAGAGCTGCGGGTCAGCTGAGAGGCTCCCTCCAAGCTCCCTGTCCCTCCAGCGTGGAGCCTGGCCAGCTGCCCTGCAGGGAGCGGCCATGGCTCTCTGAGTGCCTGGGTGTAGGGGCTGGACCACAGGCATGGGTGCACAGGAGGTAGAGCGGGCACCGCCTTCGATGGCTCCAGGCCCTAGCACCAGGATCCTGAATTCAGCCCACCCGCGGAGACCCTGGCTGTGGTTGGTGGCCATGAGCTCCAGGCCTCAGCGTCCTCCCTGTGTGTGAAGGCCAGGCTGAGCCCACCCCAGGATGCACACATGGCTAAGGGGGTGTGTGAAGGGCCCTTCCTTGCTGTCCTGCCCACCTCAGCCCAGTCCTGTTCCCCTCCTTGCCAGGCATCTGGGACCCTTCGGGGCATGAGTCCTGGGCTTGTGGATGGGATGTGGGGGTGGGTGGGGAGGGTGCGGAGCTAAGGGGCACGACTCTCGGGAGGCCCTGGGAAGAGTGGCTGCCAGTGGGCTGGGCCTTCATCATCCAGGTTTGCCTGCGTCCCAGCATGGCTGCTGGGCCTGCTGTTGGCTCAGGGCTGTGGAGCCAGCGGCTGGTCTGGCCTGGCCCATGCACCGTCTCCCTCGCTCCATCCGAGCCAGGCTGCCTGCATGTTGGGCAGACCCCGTTCACCCTTCGCTAAGAGCTTCCATGGAGAGGAGAAGGCGGGCTGTCCTGCCAGGCGGCTGGCTGGGGCCTGAGACCAGGGCCATCTTTGGGCCCCAGCTCCCTCCCCCATCCTTGGAGGGGCTGGCGGGCAGGCCTCAGCAGTCCTGGAAGCCACAGTGGTCAGAGTTGGCAGGGGCTGGTGGACACACGGGAGGGGAGGGAGGCAGGCAGGGTGACCAGGGGCTGAGGGCCAGTGCTGGTGTGGGACACCCCCTGCCCACCCCTCACTGTGGTGGAGATCTGGTCATCCCGAGAGGAAGTCGTGTGTGGGCGTGGGGCCTGCTGCCCCTGAGGCCCTGGAAGGCCTCTTCCCCCCCACAGGCTCAGCATCTTGCTCTGTCCTTGAAGCAGACGTGCGGGTTCTGAGCACGGAGCTGGGCCTGCTCTCTGTGAAGCCCCAGTTCCCGGGAGGTGGACGATGCCGATAGCACTGCTTTGGGAGGAGGGGCAGCCGCTGGCAGAGGCCCTGAGAAGGGACGACGCTGGGGAGCACAGCAAGGCCCAGGGAGCTCTGAGTGTTGAGGGACGGCCTTGCGGGTCTGGGCAGGGGTCCCGGAGGTCCCAGGGCTGCTGCGGGAAGCGGCCGAGCATCCTGAGCAGGGTGTGGCTGGGGGCAGCGAGGTGCGAACCTGACGGCCTGTCCTTGCCTGCCTGTGCCATGGGGAATGGGTTAGGGTCTCTAGGCTTGATTCTGGTGGGGGGCTCAGGACAGGGCCTGCCTCTCAAAGGGCTGGAACCCCAAAGATGGAGGTGGGGGCAGGACCCGCACCACCCCTGTCCTGAGAAGGATGGGACGGGGCCCTGCTCAGGGGGGGCAAGAAACTGTAACACAGGCTCTTGCAGTAAGGCTGGCACGGCTCTGCTGCTGACAGCAGCCCTCACCTTGTCCCCTCTCTGCCCCTGTCCCTGGAACTTCCCCTTCCCTCCCTTTTCCTTCCTCTCCCCTGCCTCCTCCCCTCCCTGGCCCTCCCCCTAGCTGTTATGCTCATGGCGGGGACTGCACCGCCCTGAGGGAGGGGGTCTCTCTCCTGGCCACGAACCCCCAGGATCCCTCTGCAGCTACTCTTAGCTTTCGGTCAGAGAGCCCCAGGTCCTGAGCGGTTGGTCCTAGCTCTGCCCTGGGCAGTGGGGAGGGCGCAGGGTGATTAGGTCTGTTCCCTCCTCTGGGAAGCTCTAGAATCTGCCCTTCCCTGCAGCCCGAGGGAGGAAGGGTGGGTGCCCGGCCTGAGCCCAGGCTCTGCCCTGTCCCAGGGGGTGATTTGGCATGCACCCTCACTCTCCCCCTCCTGATTTAAGTAGAAACTTGCTGTCGACCCAGTGCTCCTGTTGGGCCCATGTGGGAGGCTGGAGGGCAGCCTCAGGGTCCCTTGACAACTGGGTTTGTAGTAGAGGCCGGGGCCTCTCCTCCCTGTCAGCAGCTTCTCTGGGCTGGGCCATGGAGGAGCTGGTGGGAGAGCCAGCTGGATGCCAGCCCGTGGCCTCACATTCGTGGCTGGCCAGTACTTGTCCTTGTCAGGTGGAAGGCAGAGGCTGCTGGGCAGCAGCTCCTGGGGCTTCTGCATGCTGCCAGCCAGGGTCTCTGAGGATGGCACACCATTGAGGCATGCACCAGACAGTTCGTAGAGATGGGGGTGGGGCAGAAGGGGGAGGAGAGAAGGAGCAGTGCCTGTGTGCCACGGGCAGGGCGGGACTCCTGCCCCAAGGGGCAGCATCCACGGTGCCACCTCTGCTGCCCATCAGGGGCCGTGTTGCCCGTCGCCCTGGCCTGCAGATGCCCGGCCATGTGGCTGGGTGGGGCAGGGCAACAGCTGACAGGGGCTTGCTGGTGGTGTCCTGGCCAGGTACCACCTCTCCCCAGAGGCTTGAGGCATGGGACCGGGCTGTTCTGCTGAGCGTGGTGCCCATCGCATCTGCCACACACATGGGAGGGGCCATTGCTCTGGCCCAGGGCCCCTGGGAGCGTCCTGCACCACTCGCTGCTTCACAGGCGCCCCGGCCTTGCTGAGTGGTCCCTGACAGCCCGCCCTGGCCAACCGTCCCCGGTGCCACAGGACTGCTGCCTTCACCTGGGGCCTGTCCCGGGGGCACCAGGCCCAGAGTCAGTCCAGGGACTCAGAGGGTGTCCGTGCAGGCCCAGGGTGCAGGGGCACAAGGCGGAAGGTGGGCGAGGGGTTTCAGAGGAGCCACCGTGAGGCCTGAGGCTCTGCCAGGGAATTTAATGTTTTTGTTGTTCTGAGATTTGTGGATTTGCCCATGCCCTCACCGGCTTCAGCAAGTTCATTAATCTGAACTGAAGCTGAAATGTGACTTATATCCCTAACTGCCTGTCACTTTTTTTCTCTTTCCAAATTCATTTGACATGAAAGTGCGAAATAAACAGAAGCTGCTGCGCTTAAGCAGATGAATCGGAGGCTCCTCCGTCCCGACTACAAATGGTCCTGTCACAGGGCGGCCGCTCGCTGGGCCTGCCGTACTTTATTTTATTTCATTTCAGTTTGCGTCTGTGCAGTAAATCTTAAGTAATCCGTGCAGTTTTGATGAGGGTTAGGCCAGGATTTTGAAGGGCTCTGAAACGCTTCTCCAAAGTGACGGCTCATTAAAGAGGAATTCAGCCCAGGGAAGGGAGGGGTCCCCACAGTGCTGCTGCGCTCCCCATGTGTGTCTCCTTAATGAGCAGGTGAG